TTTGTAAATAATGACATCCTAGAAGACCTATTTGCGCTCTTTGGAAGAATGTGAAATATTGCTTAAATGAATAACAATACACCTTTGCACTAATGACACAAAATGGCAATGTTTCTTTGCTTGAAAGAATGTTTTGCTGCTAGCAGTTAAATTAAGAGCAAATGGCATAATATTGGATAAATAATAATAATTGCAATACCTTGACCATGCCTCCACATGGAGATACCAACTGACGGTCCTTCTCTGACCAACCTTGATCTATAATATTATCACTTCCATCGYTATCTTCCAATGGGTTAGTGTCGTGAAGGCCATTTGATTTTTGAATCTATATTTTACAATAGGAACAAAGTTAATCTAAGTTTCTGATCTTTCTTTCATTTGTTACTGTTTTTCTGTGTTTTCATTCCTTCAATTAATCATATTTTTTTACCAATATTTTATTCTGGAACTATGAAATTCAGAACTGACCTGGTCAAGTTCACAGATAGCATCCTTTACCAGAACAGCAGATGATTGTAAGACTTCTAAAACAGCGCACTTATTATCTAATAATGACAGCAACAATAACAAATAATGCAATTAGATCAGTTCTAGAAAATTAATGATTGTTATTGTAGTTTGTGTATAGAGTAGCTCACATTTTCAACATTTCTCAACAATGAGGGAGTCAAGGATTTTTTGTCATGGAAAATTTTGTTACTTTCATTGCAGATTTCAATTTTTTGAAAGGCTACTGGAATGGCAGGGCTTTGTTGATTTGGGTTATACCATACAAGGGATAAATAGCCTTATATCCATTGGATTATAAACTTTCATCCAAGTGATCAATCGATAGAAATGCTCAGAAGTGGAAAACTTTATTCAGTAAATTTTAGTTCTCTTCCCTSTCAGACAACCGTAAACCACCCAGTGTTTATCCCAGCCTGTTCTCATTGCTTTGTCATTTTCAAACACACATTGTAACACATGATAGCACTGGTCATTAGATAATTATCCATGCCCGATGTAACCATTATGTGACACCATAGTGAAAGAGGTCAAATTAGAGCGGATTTCGTATGAGTGGGATACCATTACCGTACGGTTACCGCACAGTTACCGGACCTGGCCTGCACAATTTTAGTGAACCAATGGGGCACTAGAATTTGGTTACAGTACGACTACGGTCACCGTACAGTACCGTCCGTTTCCCACTCATACGAAATCCGCTCTATCCACTYGCATTATCTTACCCAGAGGTAAAGTATGGAAGCAATCACATCTTTCCCAGATGGACCCTGTGGAATGATTGACAACCTGTGGACTGAGGCAAACAAAGCTTATATYAATAAAAAAACTTGCAGAAGACATGTAGGAAGGAAAATAAGCTAGTACACTCTAGGCACCAGTTCCTCCCGGTAAGGATTACACAGAAAGACCAAAAAGACCAATATCTTGTTTCTGCAGGAGAAATTGTGCCAGAGCTACTAGAGTATCATAAGGACAAAGCAATAATTATTGAAACAAAGAATAAAGAGGATATCTTACCTTTTGCATCCTTCATTTTTCAAAGATTCAATAAAATTCTTGGAATCATGAAGAATGTTCACTATAGTGATTTGCAATCTCTTATGAAGAGTTCTCCCTGGAATAACAAAAAATTAGTCCTTGTAAACGTGACGTTGACATCCATTTGCTTCATAAATTTGTRTGCCCAGGGGTTTGTTAAGAGGGGAAGGAAGTTCACATGGGCTAACCAGCTTGCAAAGTCAAACCTTTGTTGTTTTGGCCTCTTACTGAACAAACTGTTTGACTTTCCCAAGACAAATGTCTTGCTCATATACAGATGCATTAATGGCAATAATTTTCTATTACATGTGTTTATTTAATAGATTATTAATAAATTTTAGATAAAGTAAATAGAGATGGCATATTATCTTTTATTTCTTACCTTGAYTCATGGGAAGAGAATGGAAAACAGTTAGCATGCCTATGATGGCTGTCTCAAATCCAGTCAGAAGTCCTTCCAGGTCCTAGTTGGAAAAATATACATGTAATGTCACTGCGATAATCTTGGATTATTAACAGATAATTACCTTGGTAAGTATTTAGTTTATAAGTGTTACTAAATTGCTTTGGCATCAACCACCWGTCTTGTTTGAAAATTTTGAATGACGGCAATCTATTGCTAATGCCAGGTTGTGAATTTTAAAATTTTAATTAAGTTAAATTGAATTGAAACTTCATCCAACACTTTCCACACCCGTGTTCATTGAACTGACTCGACATAGCARGGTACACCAACCTTAGATACTTTTTTTTCTGAGCAGTGTACCTGGATGTCGCTCTTCAATGCATTGGTTAATGAACCTGAGTACGAAATATCATTCATGAATCTATACCTCTCCAGATGGAGGCGGAGGCTTKGAGAACATCACTGCTAAAGTGGTGGCTTCTTTGGAAACAGCACGGAATGTCATCCCTAAAAGTTCAAAGCAATCATTACTTTTTACTGTTGATGATATTTTAAGAAACAAATGTTACATTTTTAAGGAGCATAGGAGATGTTATCCCTTATCCGATAATCTATGGTCCTAGCCAGCATAAAAGATCTTGGGGAAGGGGGAGGATAGACAAAAAAGAGAGCGTGTCTTTTTTGGCAGCAAGTGCAGTCCATCCTATTCCCCAAGGTCGAGCATTCTACATCATCAGAACAATTAAAATGTGTGTATGCAGGTTAATTAGCCTTTTATATACTTGCCTAATTTTAACCAGAAATCTTCCATTGAGAAACTTGTTTCTAAGTCTTCCATCACTTGACCTAAACTTCCCTCTGMATAAAAATTTGTTTTATAAAAGACATCAATCAATCCACCCATTCATCAATTAATCAATCAACCAACCAATCAATCAATTAACAATCAAGAAGCTCTCACATTAAACAATCAATCAATCAATAACATTATCTAGTCCATGATCAGTCATCTGTCAATAAGTCCAATCAAGTTCACAAAAAAGTCAATCAATCACTCCAGCAATCACTCCAGCAACTTGTTCAACCAGCAACTACTATCCAGCAATAAAACCATAGTATATTAACACATCGCGTTCTATATCGATACACTTTAATATCTATCAAATTCATATATCATGCTATGGGCATGATAATTTATGCTTGCTTTTATCAAACAGCTGTTATCAAATGTCATTGAAAGATCAAAAAAGCTCAACTCAAACTGCTATGGTTGTAATCTTTCMAATACCTTTCATTTTGCTTGCACATAGCTGCAAAGTTTCAATCAAAGACGACAAAATTTCTTCATTTGTAGACTTCTTCGCGGCAGCCATCTTGGATTTCTATTTCTTTAAAATTKGGATTCCTGTGTATTGGCACAGACATCAGGTCACGTGACGTCAAGGTTCAAATGGCGTCCATATGAATATTCCATGAGCTGTTGTTGTCTCTGTTTAGAACCCAATTTGCACTGATAATGTAATGGTGTCAGGTCGTTAAGACTGTTTGGTTGTCCAGTAAAGCAGTGGAACGGTTATTAAAACAATCGGCAAAGATGTACAGTTGAAAGAAGGCACTATGTTGAATGTTACCCATCAACTTAGAAAAAAGGTACGTTCACTTTTGGGCAAAAATGCAACGGAATTCCAACAAGAATTATGGATTTGTTTACTCTTTGGTTCCGATTGGATTGCATTTACGCGTAAATATTTTCTTGGCGAATAAATTATGTTTTTTTCAAAAAGATCTGCTTGCCTTCTTGTCACCAAAGCCCCAAGTTCACAGCATCAAAATGGTTAACATTTCAAAGCAATGTCTTCATTAYCATTTGCTCAATGCCTTTGCAAGATGTTGCGTTTCATAACTTTGTCAACCATATTAAGTAGTTCTAAAGTTATCCTCTCTTTAAATAGCTCTTCCTAACAGACTTGGACGAGCGACAGTCGCCGCCTAAGGGAAGTCGACAAGGAGAACAAGAACCGGATGGAACGACATCTTCAAATGACGAAAAATCCAGAAAATTTAGAAAATCTTTACCAAGTTTGCCTTCACCCGAAGAGGAAAAGTCCATGAATTTGTCTGTGGCAAGACAAAGATCACCTTCGACTTCAACACCAGTGCCTTCAAAAGCTTATGGACCGTATTTCTTAGAATATACGCTGATGGCAGAATAGTAAGAATTGTTACTTAGTTGCAATTTTTCATTAGTCCGTTGYCAATATATTATCATGCAAATGTAAATGTGTTAATGTTTACTCTCATTAATCATTATGTTGCTAAGATTTTAAACCATYAAATAATGTTTTAAGGCAATGAATTATTGTTAATTAAAGCCTTTTAGAGATTATATGTAGATTAAGTTACAAACTTATGTACTTTTATTGATAATTTGATACTCTATTGAAACAGTAACCAACTTAGAAGTAAAAGAATTCCAGGTGTTTATGTCCTTCCTGCAGCAAAATCACCTCTTGGTAAGTTTCCTATTTTTGGTAATAGTACAAAACATGAAAGGATCTACTAGATACATGAGGGACCTAGGATCTTAGTCGTGTAACATCCTCTAGCTATAACCCAATAGATATTCTTTTGTCATTTATTACTTACACTCAGAATAAAGTACCCCTGGGAATGAAGACTGATGTACGCTCAGTTTTCTACCATCTGGATTTCAAACAATCTTGCTATGGTCTTTACTTAGAGCTGGGATATTTTTTTCTTGGAGCAAGGAACACAAACAAAAAGAAGACCCCTGGGCACACAAGGATGATATGGCTCAGAAAAACCTCGGTTTTTGTGTCAACTTTTTCAATTCAAATTTATTTAAGTTTTTTTTTCTCTCTGTACAGTATGGTATGGTGTTATTTTCATACGAATGGGTGACTACCAAGAYGGAATATTCAAGTTTACRATGACAGTACCTGACAACTTTCCAGATGGAGATTGCCCAGTGAGTAATTAATATATCTTGTTTGTTTTGAATCTACTGGGTTTGCTAGCATGTMTAAGGATTATTCTGTACAATACATGTAGTTTTCAATTCATCATTTTTTTATTTTCAATTTATTTCAGAAATTTGAATTTAAACCTCCAATTTTCCACCCTGTTGTAAATATGGAAACTGGAGAGCTTGATGTCAAAAGAGCATTTCCAAAATGGAGGTATTGATTAACCATTGKCTAGTTATCCAATTCACCTGTCCATGTCAATCAGTCATTTTGATCATGACGCATCTGTGAATTCTTTATTTACTATTCATAATACTATGCAGATTCAAACATTAAAGTTAATGAAAAAAACTGAACAAAAACTAATACTGCTATATTACTGTAATTTCTAGGCGTAACATTAACCATTTATGGCAAGTACTTATATACTCAAGAAGAATATTTTACAAAATAGACACAAAAGAACCACTAAACCCAGAAGCAGCTAATTTGTGAGTAAAATTTCTTTTCATCAACTTTAAGATGGCATTATTCATCAAAAATGTTTCTCTGAAACTTGACACAATTCCCAGTGTAAGGGAAGTTTCCGGGTTAGTTAAGATGAATTATTATTGAGCTGTAATAATTAAAACTCAATAATTCAATTAGCCATGTATGACTTATGGTCTGTTTGACAAGAGGTTTGAGGAATGACAAGAAGACTTATTGAAATAGAAAGCAATAATTCCTTTTTTAATGAAACTGAAAAATGATTAAAATTAATATTTTTCTTATTTTTAAGGTACGAAAATGATAAAGTCGCCTTCAAGTATAAAGTAAATGAATGCTTACGTGAATGTCATAATCAGATACACCTTCCAGTAGATGATGATCC